CTCCCCTATTGTTTCAGAATTAGGCCATGAAGCTCCAGATACTTCACCAGAGACTACTACATCAGAAGGAGTAAACTGATAGCCCCCAGGTGTAGTCAAGCCTGAAAAGAGTTTGGTTTAGGCTGCACAGTGCCTCAAAAGTGAATAACCTAATACTTAAGAATCTAGAAAAAAGGCAAACTAAACTCATAACAAGCAGAAATTAGGAAATAATAAAGATTAAGGTAAAAAATCAATGGAATAGAAAAACAATGAAACCAAAAGTTGGTTCTTTGAAAACATCAACCAAATTTACAAACCTTTAGCTAGACTAAAGAAAAAGAAAGAAGACAAATTACCAACAAATTAAACAATTTGGATGAAATGGACAAATTCCTAGAAAGACAGAAATTATCAAAAGAAGAAATTATCAAAAAAGAAACAGAAAATCTAAGTAGACCTATAACAAGAAAAAAAACTGAATTAGTAATTTTTAAATCTCCCCAAAAAGCCCAGGCCCACATGGCTTCACTGGCGAATTCTATGAAACATTTAAAGAAGAAATAATACCAATCCCCCGAACTCTTCCAGAAGACAGAGGAGGAATGAACACTCAAATTCATTCTATGAGGCCACAATTGCCCTGATACCAAAAGCAGACAAAGATAACAAGAAAACTATTGACTAATATCCCTCAGCAAATCAAGGCCAACACCATATAAAATAATTATATACTACAATCAAGTGGGATTTGTTCTAGGAATGCAAGGTTGGTTTAATATCTGAAAATAAATAAATGTAATACCATCTTAAAAGAATAAAGGACAAAAAACCATACAATCAACAAAATCCTACACCCATTCATAATAAAACCTCTCAATAAACTAGAAATAAAAGGCAACTTCCTTGGTCTGATAAAAGTCATTCTCTCTCTCTCTCTCTCTCTCTCTCTCACACACACACACACACACACACACACACAAACCTACAGCTAACACCACACTTAACGGTGAAAGACAGAATATTTTCCTCCTAAAATTGGGAACAAGGTAAAGTCATCTACCTTCACCAATGCTATTCAACATTGTTTTAGAAATCCTAGCTGTGCAATCAGGCAGAGAGATTTTTTTATAATTGATGTTAGATTATGTCATTCCTCTACTCAAAACTCTACAGTGGCTTCCTAGTTCACTCAGAATAAAGCCCCATATGATCTGGTCCCTATCTACCCTTGTGACTTCTCCACATTCCACTCTCCCCCTTGCTTTACTTCATCTGTAGCGACACTGGCCTGCTTTTGTTCCTCAAACACAATGAACACATGCCTGTTTCAGGGCCTCTAACCTGCTGAACTCTGCATGCCTGGAATGTTATTCCCCCAAGATATAACTCATAGCTTACTATTTCAGTTCCTGCATATTTCTGCACGGATTTTATTTTCTCAGAGAGGCCTTCTATGATAATCCAGTCTCTCCCTATTCCCTTATCCTGCTTTATTTTTCTTCGTATTTATTCATTTGTTTACCGGCTTTCCTTCACTAGAATTTAAACTAACAAGAGAGAAAACCTATTTTATGCACTGCTGTATCTCAAACACTTGAAACCGTGCCTGGTACATGCTAGAGGCTCAAATACTCAATGAACTAATGTCTCCAAAAAGAAAAATTTATATAGGAGAATGAGTTTAAAAGGGAGTGGGGGAGATAATACTGGCCCAAGAGGCTGAGAAGGACCAGTGCTTTAAGTCATAGGGAAAGAGCCAATGTAAGATAATAGAAAAAACTTGGTTCTCTGGAGCCAGATTCTTCTGGGTTCTAAGCTTAGCTCTTCCAATCACTGCCTACACATCCCTCTCTAAGTCTCAAATAATTTATAAAACAAGAATATCACCACCTACCTCCCAAGTTGCTATGAAAATGAAATAAATTTAAGTAGAGCATTCGGCATAGTGCTTGATAATATTAATATATTAATAGCAGAGACTATCATCAATTTAACATTTTCTGATAACTTTGGCCTTCAAGAGGATCTAGAACCACAGAAATTACCTAGCCCCACCCCCACCTTACTAAAGCACATAGATGTTTGTAGGGCTATTGCTCCTAAATTAAATGGCCTCCAGACTGCTGTCTTAACTTCTCATCATTCTTCTTTCACCCCTCCCCTTACTGTCAGCTTTCACCTCTCACATCTAGCTGCTATTAATGTAGCAGCTCCTCTTCCTTTTTTTACGTGCTGTGCTGCTTTTAATCTTACGGAGGGTTAGAAACCAGAATGCTAAACTTGTTACAACAACATGTAAAAATAAGAATAAATTAGCAGTGTACCAGGGCTTAAGGATGACAATACTTTGCTATCCTTTTGTTTTTTAGTTCAGCTCTGGAAAAATGAGGCTGTTAGATTAAAAAGCTATTATATAGAAACCTGTATATTATACACTTATTTGCATTTACATGGAACCATTCATATTTTAAAACAGTCAATACTGGAACTTTTCCACAGGGCAGTTGTTACAGGAAAAATAAGATCCAAGCTTGGCACCAAGGCCAGGGAAAGGCCAAAAGCTACAGAACTTTAGATTAATTAAGACAAAAAGAGGTGGCAGCAAAAGCCTGGAGTAGGAGGGAAGGTTGGAGCTGGCCAATGTGGAGCCCAAGATTACCAGATGAGTGCCAAACACCTCTGTGCACTCTCTGGCAGACAGAGGGAAGAATAGACTGTTGTTAGAGTATGAAGAAAATGGCCCACATATCACTGGCCAAGGGAGAAAGCGAGATGGTACGAAAACCGCAACGACCATGGCCTCCATTAACATATAAGGCTACAGTGTAAGTGCCTTTCCCGCTAGCAGTCAGAGGGACAGGCAGGGAACCTAGGGCCAAAATAGGAATAGCCTTCCTCTTCTGAGATGACAGCAGGGAACAAGGTAACATCTCAGTGGAACTAGTCATTGAGTGACGACTCATGTTGGGAATGGCTCTTGAAAACTCCTTTAATATCTATGCCAGCAGTAGTCTTGCTGCCAGGGTTTATGAATGCACTTAAACCTGCACCCTGCAAATTATGGATGCTAATGCTGTCTGGCTTTGTCATCTATGCCCCAGAATCCTTTTCCTTGTGGAAAGACTGAGCTATGGGTAGGGCCTGCAGAAGGAGAGGAGAAGGGCATGGGAGAAGATTTATGGTGCAAATTTTAAAAGAAAAATTCTCCCTTTTACCTTTGGGAATGAGGTGCCTCAATACTACTATAGTTTGGATGTTTGACCCCTCCAAACCTTTTGTAAAAATTTTATCTCCAATCTTTGAAGTGGGGCCTAATGGGAGGTATTTAGGTCGTTGGGGGCAGATCCCTCATTAATAGATGAATGCCCTCCCTGGGAGGGTAGTGGAGGGGAGTAAGTTCTCACTATTAGTTCTCGGGAGAGCTGACTGTTAAAAAGAGCTTGGCCCCTCCCCTCTCTTGCTTATTTTCTTGCCATGTGATCTCTGCGCATGCTGAGATCACATGCTGGCTTCCCTTTACCTTCCATCAGAAGTGGGAGCAGCCTGAGGTCCTCACCAGACGCAGATGCCCAATCTTGAACTTTTCCAGACATCAGAAAATAAACCTTGTCTTCTATATAAATTACCCAGACTCAGGGATTCCTTAACAGCCACACAAAATGAACTCAGACATATTTCTAATGCTTTCTTCTCACTTTCCTGTTTCGTTCATGCTGCTTTACAATTTGTGAAGACTCTCAGCGTGCATTTCTCACTTGATTACCTATAACATCCCTGCATGGTTGATACACACACAATAGACATGTAGGGGGACAGGGAGGCACCCCAGTTGTACAAATAGGGAAATAAGGATTGTCTGAGGGCACACGTGGAGAGAAAAGATTAAAACCAGTTTTCCTAACTTCAACCCAGCTTTCCAGGTCCCTATCTTGTATTAGACCAAGTGTTTATGGGACTCCATGTGTTACAGACATTTTCTTCTCCTTCCAGTCACAGCAGCCTCTGCCTGCTTGAAGGTTCTTCCTATCTTTCAGACTATTAGCCCTCTCAGAAATACCATTGCTCAGAGGGACCCCCCAACTCCTACCTATTCTGCTGGGTCCCTCAACTGAATCTCCTTCCTCAATCTCTAAGGAGGTTTGTCTTCTATAACTCTGTAAGAAAAATCAGAATTACAGGGAGATTAGCAGCCCAAGGAAAGCCTGCCAAGTCAGGAAGAACAACGCTTTGTGAATTCCCAGGCGTGAACCTTGGGCAAATTATTTCAGATTCCTAAGCCTCAATTTCCTCATCTATAAAATGGGGTTTTAGAGCCAGGTGCGGTGGCACATAGCTGTAATACCAGCTACTCAGGAGGATCACTTGCCCAGGAGTTCAAGACCAGCCTGGGCAACAAAGCAAGATCTCATCTAAAAAAAAAAAGAGGGGGAGGGGTTGTCTAGATTAAATGAGATCCATAACACAGCAAGTTCTTAATGTATTGATTTTCCTTCCCTTCTCACCATCTGTGGTATTCCCTTTGAGCTTCCCCTGACCTTCCCCTTCATTCAGCCCTACTCTATCACTCCATCCTCTTCACTTTTCATGATCACATTTTGCAGGATTGAGAAAACTACAGGATTTCCTGAAACTGACGTATGGGCTTGATAGGTCACAGTAGAAACCAAAGTCAGGAAAGTCTCTAGGGGCTGTGAAACCACATTAAAGAGCTTAAGGGAGGACAGGTATAGCTGTCAGGTCCCCAGATAACCTCTAGCAAAAGCAAGGAGGAAGCAAGCCAACTCTGCCTTATTCACGGCAAATGATGCCAGACATTCCCATGGTGGTTCTAGGAAAGGAATCTCAACCATTCTCCCAGTTCAGGACGTTGCCTAAGCCAACATCCAATCTCTCAGACATGGAGTAGGAAAGTAATCACCTGTAAGTTATCTGTACTAAAGGAAAAGCTAATCCCCAAACTAGTTACCCTCTATCTTGGCCCAAGCTTGTCCAGAGTTTTCCCAGGCACCCCCACTCACCAGTACCAAGGCTGTGCTTAGCCAGCTATTTTCTCCTTTGGGTTACAGGGTCAGCACCAGCTGCCTCTGGGAACAAGGCTCACCTACAACAGAGAGAGAAGACCATTAGGTGTCCTGCTGAGAACAGGCATGAACTCAGGGCAGTGTGGGCATTCAAAGTTCCTGCCCTCACACATTTTACATCCTAGTAAAGTCAGATTAATTATTTTAAGTATATAATTTCAAGTAGCGCTAATAAGTGCTATAAAATAAAGCAAGGTAAGGGGAGAAAGAATAACAAGGGTTAAAGCAGAATCTACTTTTAGATGAAATGGTCAGGGAAGTCCCTTCTCCAAAGGGTGACATCTGGACAGAAACAGAATAAAGTGAGGGTGTAATATATGCAAAGATCCGAGGAAAGAGCGTTCCAGAGAAAGAGAATAGCAAGTGCAAAGGCTCTGTGGCATAATACTTAGGCAAGAATAAGCTTGGTATGTTTAAGGAACAAGACGACCAATACAGCTAGAATGGAGTGATAGAGAGAATGATACTAGGTACACAAGGAGGAACTACTTATGTTCTCTATTTTACATATGAGGTAACGAAGGCTCAAAGGTCAGGTGACTTGCCCAAGATCAAAGTTAAATCAGTGGTAAAACTGGGAGTGGAACTCAGGTCTTCTAGACAATTCTACTCTGACTCCCTCCTGGGTCAGGTTCCTCCAGACTTAGATAACCTGGACCCTAGCTGAGACAAATTTTCAAGCACTCAGATTGCTTCAGGTTTCTGTGCTCACCTCCCTCCTCTGCTGGGTGAAGATAGTGAAAAACAGAGAACCTCTATATATTCTCAGAAATGTGGGGTAGAGGGGACTCTGGAATGAGGAGAAGAGTAGCACATATCAGGCACTCTTCTAAACCTTTTACTGGTATTAACTCATTTAATCTTTACAACAATCTTGGAAGGTTGGCGTGTTATTATTTTACTAATGGGGAAACTGAGGCACAGAAGTTAAGTAAATTTGCCCAATTCATACAGCTAACAGATGGTGGAGCTGGGACTTGAACGCAGAAGTTTAAATCCAGGGCTTGCCCTCTAAACCACACACTGTACCACTTCTCAAAAAGAGAAGGCAGAAAATGTGTTCTCTAGTTCTAGCTGACATAGGTGAGAGAGCCCCCACCCATTTATACCCAAGCCTGACATCCTCTTCCATTTACTTGTAGTCCAGGCTTTACACTGAATACAAGCTGAATGACTCCAGAGTCCTTCAGCCATTTGGTTCCAAAGGCTCTTCTAATCTCTAGCTACTGTGATCTCAAAGTTACAATGATAACAACAGCCATTTAATAGCCTTTTACTGCACACTTGGAAACAGACTGAGTATTGGGCTAAGCACTGTCTTATTTCAGAGAGGGAGTAGGAGCTGCTCCAAGACATCAGTGGAAGGATCATGGGGGCTCCAGGCCTGGAACAATGCGGCAAACACATGGAACTGAAGGATCTTTCAGCTCCAGGTCAAAGGACAAGGCAGAGGCACCAGTGGGTGGGTGGTAAGGGGACTGGACTATCAACACCTCCAACTCAGCCAGTCAAACTGAACTCATGTCCTACTTCTCAGCCTCCATGGCTCAGCAAATTATATAGCCATTCTCCCAGGTACTTAGACTCTAAATGCTCATGCTCTAAACCCCTCCTTCCCACAATTGCCAAATCCTTCTGGGATATTTCTTTTCTTTTTTTTTTTTTTTTGCTCTAAGAACCCTATATCCAAACCATTCTTCTTAATTCCCTACAGGGTCGACTTCTTCTTGGTTCAGGATCACATTATCTCTTGCCTGCACTGCTGGGATATTTCTTAAAATTTATTGACATTACAAGGACAGAAGGTTATATACAGTAGTCTCTCCTCACCCTCCTGCTCCAATCCATTGGACCCACACTGCCAGACTAATGGTCCTAATGCCACTCTCCTGCTCAAAAATGGCTCCCAATCATCTCAGTCTTGCTCTCTAGGTATGCCATGATCTAGTCATCACCTGCCTCACCTCTACTGTGGGCTTTCCAGCTCCCATACTTTCATCCATGATGTTCTCTCACGGGAATGCCCTTCTTCATTGTACATATACAAACCCTTCTTAATCTTCAAGGCCTAATTAATTAATCTATGAATTTATCCTGAACCCATTCTCACCATTTTCTCTGCCCTGTTCTTGAAACATCTCTAGCTTGTGGCTACATTCAGTTTCAGCCTCACCATCAGCTAAGGCCTCAGGAATACAGCTCCTCTGTTCCCCTTCTTCCCTGTAGAGATTCCTACTGCTTTCCAAGTATGGAGACCTGGTCAGTTCTAAGATTTCTGTTCCCATTCCTCCTACTCTTATCTCAGTCTGGATCTAAGAGACAAGAGACCTGGGTTCTAACCTGCACTTCAGATTCCTCATCTGCAAAATGGGGATATAATTTCCACACTACCGATATAGGGCTTCTGTGAGAATCGATGTTATAACAGGTGAGAAAAGGGTAAGAGTTAGGATGGGAGTCTCCCAGCCAGGTCTTTAACAACTCTGTCAGTTGAAAAACAGTGAGTACATACATGAGTCTTCTATCCAACCAGTCAAAAAATATTTCCTGATATTGGCCTTACTGTGTAAAGAGCTCTGAGTTAGGTGTTATGGAGGATGCAGGGATGATTGAGAACAGTCCTTATCCTTAGGCACTCTGCAGTCATAGTGGAACTGTATCAACTTCCTGAACAGGACTACTAAGAATATCAGGCAGGCTCTAACAGTTCAGGTGTTATGAAAACTATAAAAGTAGAGAAAGCAATGAGTGTGACCTGGGGTGGACCTCAGAAGCTCACAGAAGGAGCAAAGATTTACACCAGTCCTTGATTTAGGTGACAGAAAGACAAGGGCTGCTACTATACCCTACTCAGGCACTAGGCTAGGTGTTAAACTGTTAATCTTCATTAATACCCTGTGAAGTAGGTGATGGCATGCCCATTTTACAACCAAAGTAACTGAAGACAGGCAGGATAAGTGTACCATTCAAGGTCAAACAGCTAGTAAGCAGCAGAGCTAGAATTTGAACCTAGGTCTGCTTTACTTTACTCCATAGTCTATGTGCTTTCCCTTACTTTATGGTCTGCCTTACTTCATTACATGGCAACATGAAAGAAGAGCAGAAACCCTAAAGTTCTTTCTACCTCAAAATTCAGTGATTTGATTTGGGGGGTGGTTACTACTGTATCTTCCCCGTAAGACTGTGATTAGGGTCTCATCACTGTGACAGCATAAGTATCTAACATAGAGGAGCCTGGCAGGTAGGAGATACTAAGTATTCGGGGAACATGTGAGTGGATAAATGAATTTACAAACAACTGCCCCATCAACTCTTATTCTGAGGACTAAAAAGTTAGGTCCAAAATCTCAAGCTCTATGTTCTGAGTCTCAGCCCCTGTAGCTACATAAATCACACACTACTAATCTGTTGGCTAAGGTGTCCTTTCCTACTGTTGTTTTCATGAGTTAGGGGAGAAGTAAAGAGAGAAAGGCTAAGAAGAGATCGTTGGACAGGGAACAGAGGAAATGGAAGGAGAGAAAGGTGGTTGAAGGAGAGCAGGTAAGGAAGGAGAAGCTTGGGCAGGAGTGAAAGGTCTGAGGCCTAGACTTTGGAAAACGTTTCTTTTTCCTTCCGGTTCCAAAACCAAGGACTTTTTTTTTTTTTTTTAAAGAGCAGTAGTAGGAATTTCTCTTCATGAATTTTAAATGAAGGAAATTTGCTTGTCCAAATCCTGGACTGTGAGCAGGATATGAAGTGAGGCACTTAAGGACAAGCTCCTCAGGGCTTCCATCCTCAGTCCTCACTAAGATCCTGTCCCAGCCCAACATCTGCCTGCTTGAGGCTGAAACCTGCAGAGATCAGAAGACAAGCAGGTTCTTCCTCTTGCCACTGCTTCCTCCCTACCAGCATTACTCCAGGCTAATAAGCCCTAGGAGTCTATCCTTCCTCATGGATAAGGGGATACTGACATCCTCTAGATCCTTCCCCACAGCTCCCTGTCATGAAAGCTGCGTTGAGTTCTAAAGGAAGGTGTTTCTCCCTTTCTGCTAAATTCCCCAAATGTGGAATGCACCTGGGGTGAAGATGTGGATGGAGGCGGCAAGGTCCCTTCAGAATCCTCTAGATCTACAGTTCAGCTCTCTTTAGGTCTGATCTGCACATTATACGCATGTATCTCTCTTTCTTACTAAATTAGAGAGAATACTAGGCTGAGAGTCAGAAAACCTAAGGATTAGCTCCAGCTCTGCCTCTAATTCACTGTGTGATCTTGAACAATTCATTTCACCTTCCTGGACCTTAGTTTTCAGATCTGTAAAATGAGGATGCTCGTATATGCTCTTGTGAAGGATTTTCTGAAGGTGGATCAAACAAAACTGACAATAACAGGTTAACTGTTTAAATCTATGACTGTTGACTGGTTTGATATGAAGCAGTAATGAAGGAATAAGGGGATGTCTCTTTAAAAAACAGTGAACTGCTAACTCTCTGGGAGGCCGAGGCGGGCGGATTGTTTGAGCTCGGAGTTCGAAACCAGCCTGAGCAAGAGCAAGACCCCATCTCTACTAAAAATAGAAAGAAATTAATCGGACAACTAAAAATATATAGAAAAAATTAGCTGGGCATGGTGGCGCATGCCTGTAGTCCCAGCTACTCGGGAGGCTGAGGCAGAAGGATTGCTTGAGCCCAGGAATTTGAGGTTGCTGTGAGCTAGGATGACGCCACGGCACTCTAGCCCGGGCAAAAGAGTGAGACTCTGTCTCAAAAAAAAAAACAAAAAACAAAAAACAAAAAACAGTGAGCTGTACTATCTTTTCAGTTAAAGTGATCTGCCCTGAGTGAAAGAATTAGCAAGAGCTGTGGCAGACACAATGTCACACTGTCTGTACCTTCATCAAAAGACAGTTAGGCACCAACCAAGACTAGATAAAGTTCAAAAACTACATGCACGCAAATCCCAACAGGTGCAAGTAGACACCAAGAACCACTACAAGTCAAATACTGCTTAGAGAAAGTAACGGTAAGGTAATTTAGTGGCAAA